AACTGCCCTTTTAATCAAATGTGTGAAGTATTAATCTCAAATGGTAAATAACCATATATAAGTTTAGAGAGAGAAAAAAGTTAAGCAGCCTAGTTAGATGAATATAAAATGCAAATAATATTGTCTGTGAGTACTATGTTAAAGCATAAATGTATACAAAAGATATTATAAGTGATCTCCTCATGCTGGCAGTGTTTAATAAGGTAACATTTTAACATTGCCCAGTTATTTAACACCTCCATAAAATCATTAGTTCTGTTCAAGCTGAGAGGGATAGAATTTAACTTCTAGATCATTTGTGATCCCAACTGGTTAACATCAAAACAGCTGTAGTTTTACTGAAAACCAGGTTACATCTGATTTCTTCAGTGTAAATATATTCTTAAAAGTTCTGTCTATATGCATATATGGATACAGAGGCAGACTTGGGATACAGTATTTGTTGCTAATCTGAGTTACTGCTGGCAAGTAGCTATTTTAGACGAAGGGTTCTATTGATGTGAGAATCAATGGAAATAAATTATTATCCTGAATAGACTATAAATTGTTGATTATATGCTGGAAGCATATTAACCTGAGAGGTACTGTTGAATTCCTTTCTCTTCTAGACCTATCCTGCAGTATATGGGTTGTAGATACAAAGCTTTCAATCTCCAGAATTTTTTATCCTTTCTAGCAAAGCAGTAACAGAATATTTAAGTCCAGAATCTCTTGGAACTATAAACTCTATCAAGTGCCAAGAAACACACAGATCAAGTTGAATATAGGGATTTTCTCACACCACACATTTTGAGATGCAAGGATGAGAAACTTAACTAAACAATGGCTATTTTCCATGTTGACACATATACAGATCCCAGCAAAAGGATACAGAAATACCTAGAGTTTGCATATAGCTACTAATGATTGCATTATCACTTATGTGTCTTTATATGTTTCTTTCTTTTTGACACTGGCATGCCTTTTACATGTGTATTCAAAACAGTATTTGTCTTGCCAGAAATATGTAGATCAAAAATTATTTTAGTGATCTAGCCTATTTTGTTGTCTTTACCTTTTAATACATAATAGTCTATTATTAATCATTTAAGAAATATGGAACCTAAACTTGCATTACAATGTCAATTATTATGACATTTATTATTAAATAGAAGGGAGTAAAAATATATTTTGTATTTATTCTAATTTTAAAAAAACATTTTCCACAGCTTCCATCAAATATATTTCCAATATATTTCTGTTTTACTTACATTTCTATTTTAGGAGGCCTGAGTTACATTCTTGCCTTTTATTTAATCTTCATATTTTTAATAAGTTTTGCATTTGTTACAGGGTGTTTGTTAGGCAAGTTGTGAATTGTAGTAATTTATTAGCCTAATCGTACCCTAGAATCACATAAGAAATGTATTAGAACAGATCAACAATCAATCTAGTCCATTATCCTGCGCCTCACAGCTGCCAGACAGGTTTTTTTAAAGGTCATTTTTAAAAAATGAAATATCCAGAAAAAGAATGGCTAAAAATCTTAAGTGTGCTGATATGATTATTTATAGGATAGGAAGCCTCTGCAGAAGAGCCAGAAGCAAAACACCCACAAAGCAGGATTCGTGACAAAATTTGTTTATGCTTCTATCCCAGGAAAAATTGCCACTGATGTTCCGCTAGCCACCAAGAGGGATAAATAACATGATGCTTGCTATATATTTAAAAGAGGTGCTTTAACCAGGTAGGGTCCAATTCTGATCTATATATAAAATGCATAAGCAGTTTATACCTTCATCCCAGCCACTTTCTGCAAAATCTCTCCCCAAGGGTTTAAACACATAAAGTCTGAAAAAGAAAAACCTCAGCTGGTGACAACAGAGAGTTGTCTTTTAAAACCTTGTGTAGAAAATTTGGCAAAGCAAGTGGGAAGAGAAGCAGCCTTCTATCTGTTCATGGTGGTCTCGGTCAAGGTTGGGATGTCATCTGTTTATATTACCATAAACAAAAATCAGAGGAGTAACTATGCACTTACACTTTACATCTCACATTAAGTCATAATGTAGGTTGTTTTGTGTTTAGTGTGATTTGCACATGATCCATGAATAAACTATAGTTAGTTTGGGGCAGAACCATTTGTACTCATGTTGTTTTCTTACTGTACATGATAAGCAACACATGAAGGCATTGTTTGTAATTTCCTGGATTAAAAAAAAATGTTTTGCCACACCCAAGCCTCATTCTAACCTATCTATAAACTGCAGTTAAAAAGATTTTCTTTAACAGCAGTCCAGATTACTGGAGGAACCTGCACTCAAGGGTAGAACTATACAATTTAGATCAGAGTTTCCCAACGCTGGCAACTTCTAGATGCGTGGACTTCAATGGCCACGCTAGCTGTGGAATTCTGGGATCTGAAGTCTACACATCTCAAAATTGTTAGGGTTGGGAAACAGTTATTTAGACCATATAATATTTGACTGTAACTACTGGTCATCAGGACAGTGAATTCTGTAAGTTGATTATGCATTTAATCACTGAACTGTATTCACACTATGCCAAGCCATTATTTTCTTACTGATGCTACACTGCCTATACTACAATGGCTAGATTCATACAAGACATGAAGTCACCATTGAATAAATTTAAGGATGATCTCAGAATCCAGTAGTCCATTGGGTTCAGACAAGTCTAAAATGCATTTGATGGTAGCTTTGTGATCTCAATTCTAGCAAATCAAACTTTCTCAGATGGCCTTGAGAAGTAGTGTTATCAGAGGGTAGACCAGCTTTTCTCCATCCCATTTTTTATGTTATACATATTTTTAAATAAGCCTCCATATGAGGATCTCATCATTTCAGGGTAGGTGAATGCAGGGAAGCACTGTATAACAGGCCAAAGCACACAATTTAATCTATCATGATCAAACTCCTCAGCAATTTCCATCAACATCAGAAAATGTGGATTCAACTATGTGACAGTAAGATCATCCCACTCACAAATGATGGACAGCACAAAATGTTTGCTACAGAGGGAAAACCAGCAATTGGCCTATCTCTTATAACTAGCTGACAGTGATATATTCTCATTGCTCCGCCACTGAAAAATTGGGAGATGATAATGATTGAAAGCCAGAGGTCGATGGGCAAACAGCCCAAACCCACCAAACCCAGTTTACAGTATTTTTGCAAACTGAGCCCACGCAATATCAGAAGAAATTGACAAAGGCACTAAAGAACCTTTCTAACCACTCTTCAGCCACTAGGTAACTAATCGCTCTCTCTCATTAAAACCTACTCCCCAGGATTGAAGTATGGTAAAACAAGGTAGGGGAGATCTATGTACATTGCCTCAGGTTCCTGGAGAAAATACAAGCAAACAAGCAAGTAGGCAATAAATACATAGGTATCATTCTTAAGCTAAAAAGTATTAAAGTATCTCTATGCCACACTTGGCATGCTGACAGCTACAGCAAGTGAATGATGCTGGGGCAAGTACTAAATATACAACATTTCTTTTTAATGTACATTAATTACACTTAACATTACTATGTTCCACGTATTTCAGGTTTCAGGGATTTGTTCTGTGTTCAAAAAGAATGCAATAGTGTTTTTTTTTTTTTAGTTTGTACTGTAGTTTTAACGTTTAGTTTTCATTTTAACCTTTTGTAGTTTTTAACCTATATACTTTTTCTAAGATTTTATAGTTTTTTACTTGTAATGCCGCCTAGAGTTACTTGTACAGAGAGACGGACAGCATATATTAATTTGAAAAATAAATAAACAGGCATTTTACCCCAAAGCAAAAGATAATCTACTCAACCATAAAATGCTAAGTTATAATAAAACTCTTACATTCTTAAAGGGAAAATTATTGTGTGACTAGTAAAGCCTCACTCTGTGAGAGAATCTCACTGAGTATGGAAGCAGAGTAAGTATGAAGATAGTTTATTGTTAGATCCTGCATCTACATAAAATACATTAAATTTAAAATGTGCATTTTTCATTGTAAATTGTGGCTTGGCAAAAATTCCAAAGACTTTGTTGACTTGGCATTCACTACAAAACAATGACATTGTGCAAAAATCCATTTTTTTTTCTCTAGAGAATTTATTTTCTTTTACTCATTGGAGTTAGCAAACATACATATTAATGCTGCACATTTATATTTGTTTAACTCTGCTTATCAGCTAAAATCCCCTGTATCTATATTGATTCTTCCTGACATAACTGCCTTCTAGTTATGTTTTATTTTGTGCTGATATTTCTCACCTATTTGTTATTACTGTGTTTTGCTCAGTTTTCATTTGTACAATCAAATTTAGCTGTTGCCTAAATCAGAATGTGTTATTGTAATACAACTGAACAAGGACTTTGACAACAAGCTAATTGAATAGTTATATCTCTTACTCAAGCAAATAAATCTCAGTGGCATAGTGATATAAATGCTAGACTTAATATGTGGTTGTTAGGAAGAATTCCTGCTAAGTACCCTTTAAGCAAACTATGGATATGATTAGGACAGCAAGGAGAAAGAAGAAGGGGTTGTTAACATGCTACCATGCTGATCTTTCAGGAAGCTCATACAATGTAGTCTTAGTCAAGGCAGAATTTATCATGTATAATTGATAAAAGTAATACAAGGGCATGCTGTGCTTCCTTGCTGTACACAAATGCTCTGTGCTGGGTGAAAAGATCTCCCCACTATTAGAGCATTAAGTGGGGAATCACTGTAATTGCATGTATTGGAAACAACAGATTTGTGTGTGTGTGTGAGAAGTTATTAATGGTATTATTTGAGATTTGCAACCCAAGTTTTGTTAGAGTTAGAATTTCACCAACAATTCCAATGTTCATGCTTAAGATGATATACATAAAGAACAATATTCATTTTGTGACTGCAATTTTTATCTTGGTTGTAGAATACATACCTTGGCATACATTCTAAATCTCGGCATACAGTTGGCATACAACCAAAAGTGGACTTAAGAGCATTTAACAAAAAATAATGCTACTTACCAACTATTGCTAGATTGTGCTCTGAACCACATGCAACCTGCAAAACAAGTGGTAATATAATAGTAAACAAAAATACCAAACAGGATAATGCACTTGGAATACACAATTTTGGAAGATAATACATTATATTTATGATAAAAATAAGCTTGGTATTGAAAGGCATACTGCCTCTCATATTGGAGATGATCTACAGCAATTATATCTCTGGTAATCTAATCCTTTTTGCAAAGAAATCCAATCTCAGGGGCAATACCACACAATGTATAAAGGAATATTTTCTTTTATCTGTTTACAAATTCTTTTCATTAAGTCCCAAGGGTGTCAGACTGGAGGAGAATGGAGGCAGTCCTTAACAATTTTGAGTGCTATAGTCAAAGGTATTGATAAGCACGCAGTAATTGCCCAGCAGTAAAGCATAACTACTGTAATCAAAACTACTGATAAATATACATATCAAATTATGGTAAATCTGCTTTATAATACAGTGTTGGCACTGCAAACAGCAGTGTCCTTAATTCAGCTCTTAGCAATCCACCCCTCCACTTCCAATAATTCCTAGTGGTTATTTCTCAGTGCCAATTAAACAAGAAAAGTTTACAATGACATAAATTATAACTATATACCCCCTTCACAGTTTAACAGGACTACAGGGAAGGAAGAAAATTGCTTGGAAGTTGCATCACAATTTGACTTTCTGATGGTTGGGCAACAAATCTCATAATCTTCAGTGAACAGTGGCTAAACTTCCATTGAAGCATGTTGCCAAGATGCAATGGCAGAAGAGCAGGGTTAAGAAGGAAAAAAGGTTGAGAGAATAGTGGAAAAGAATAGAAAGAGGAATCAAGACTTAAGGATTGAGTAACCAGCAGATGGAAGAAAGCACCATAGAAAAGTTAAACTGGATAAACTGAAAGGTAGCTGGAAAAACTATGAAATTAATGCTCAGCCATCTCTTCCTCCTGCTATGCTGATTTCTTTCTCCCTCATTCACTTGCGCACATAGATGTGCACACAAACAAAATGAGAACCAAATCCTAAACTGCAGAATTTGGTTACTCTTCAGTAAACAACTAAGCACCATTCTAACAACTAGAATGGTGCTCAGACTGAGACTGCTGGGTACTTGAATTGGCAAAGTATCCCCACAGGACAGAAAGAGACAAAGGCATGAGGTTTTAACATTCCCTTTCAACTTCTACATACCCTGTAAAAAGATATTTTTAAAGCCACCTCCTGGATTTGAGTGCCACTGGGGAAATGTTAAACTAATCAATACAAAATTCAATTGTTGGAATGGATAATTGAGTTATTACATCTCTCAGGGGATTAGTCATCAGTAGAATGGTTTCAGTTGTCTTATGAATCTCCAAGGTGTTTCCCTGGTGCTGCAGACCAAGGGCTTTCATGAATGAAGAGCATTACCTAAAAATATTAGATTTGAAGAGTGGGATTATGAACATTTCTCACTGTCAGTGTTATAACATTGTGTCACTCTTTTTTGTATCATGTATGCTAAAAGATTATAAATCAAAGTGGAAGGTGAAGTGGAGGATGAGTGAATCTTCAGGGTGACTTATACAGACTGTCAACCCCACACAACAGTTTTTTTGGGTGGGGAAGGAACTCCTCAAATAAAGTCTCTATCACTGAAGCACAAGAAACAAAGAGCAAAGAGATACCTGGAGGCAAAGGAAGAAAGCTACAAAGGATACGGACTGTGGGAGTAAAAATTGTCCTCCTCCTCACTGTCTCTTCTCTCTTCACTATCACTCACTCCAGGCCTGAGACTTTACAGTATTGGTTCACTTCCAACTAGTACAGCTGAGAATAATCCATGTCATGTGGGAGCTGGTGTAGAGTTGCTCTTTCTTATTAAGTTATAAATGGACCATTTCCCAAACACACTGGGCTTTATATAATTTCATATAAGTGCCAAAAAGTACTAAATTTCTGTTCTTTGAATTACCGCCCACCCCATCCCAAAATAGCTAATGTTTGTGGAGTCTAGATCTTTTTCCTGGTTGGTTTTCTTTTATTGATTGCCACAATATGATTCCAACTGTACTTTCAAAAGTCAGATATATGTACAGTAACAATCACCAGTGCAGATGGATACCCAAACATGCACCCCTGAAAGGAAGGCAATGGAATAAATCAGAAACTTGCTCCAATATGTGATTTATGCTTTATGTCTGCAACTTCTGACCCAGAAAGAAATATACAAATGGAAGAGGACTTATTTGCAGAGTACTCTTAAGCTGCAATGCAGAATGCTGCCAAGAAAAGGCTAAAGCCAAAAGTGACAATTCATTAATATAGCCACTTAGAAGTGAGAGTTGAGGAATTCAAATGTACCAATAGAGGTGAATTCAAATGTGTCCACACTGTCCTTGTGAAGAGCACTGCAGAGTATTTACATAATAATGCATCTGTGGGGGGGGGGGGGGTATATAAATGACCAATTTACCAGTACATTATTGCTCACTTAATTTGGGTTCAAAAAGTCTCCATAGTTCATAAATCACCCAAAATATTTAGAGAAGCAAAACTCTTCCTCCTTAAAATTAAAATTTATTTTGCTTTGAAGAATGTTTAATATATCCTAGTAACCAAAGATCACATACTGAATACACAATTAAAGATTTACAATTTCCAACTTCACTGCTGGTCTCTTGCCACTGTCTCACCAAAGCACTTATAAAATGTGGTTAATAAAATCCCTTGTCTTGATCAGTCTAGAAGTTTATCTTCTAATATACCCCACTCATCACCCTGCTGCCCCGGTTGTAACTTTATATTACCTAGTAGTCTGGTTTCTGGTTCTAAAAAAGAAACTCAAAGAAATAAGGACATAGTGTTTATATTTAACAATAAAGGTTAGTAGTGATTTTCCAAAGAAGTGGGTCTAACAATCATTCACTTATTTCTTTCCAGAAAGCTTTGAGAGAGTTCCTGGTACAACATAATAGCATCACTCTTCCTGCTAACATAGTATCCATATCTAGAGACATCCTCTCATTCCACCTAAGAATCTAAATAAAATTAATACTTTGCACATTTTAGCATAGCTTTGTCAGAGACCCACACTATCCAGTTCAGAGATCTGACTGGGACCATCCTACAATCTTATTACCACTTTCTACAATTTAGACAATTTCCAATTTAAACGGAAGATCTTACTGTGTAGATCTCCAATAATAGGAACAGTAGTCCTTCAGAACTTAATGTATCATCTGGCATTGCCAATACCTAAACAGTTGTGAATAAGTGTAGTTTAAAAACAAAAACAACTTTTGTTTCTCCTTGTGAAAATATATCTACTCAATCTGCTTGTGACCCTCTTCCAGATCAGATTTACATAGCTCTGTGGTTTTGTGCGGTATATGGTTCCTTTGGTCCCAGTTAATGCCTAATATTTATTCTACGTGCCTTGATTCTTCTTTTAATCAATCCCATGTTCTCTACCTCTTACTGTAAATGCTGCGGGACAATCCGAAAACTAGCACTAAGCAGGGTAAAGTTAGGCTTTCTTGAGATTGTACATTAATTTAGTGTGATGCTTTGGTTTAGGATAAGGTTTTATACAGTCTTAGAATTAGATTGCACACTTTTTTATTTTACACCTAACACTTAAGTCTTAAAATTCCTATTGGCATTAGAGTAAATATAGGATTAGAGTTAGGCTTCCCTGTGATTTTAGGCTAATTTTATTGTGATGCCTTGGTTTAGGGTGAAGATTTATGGTTAGTGCTAGTGACATTTTGTTTATGTATACTGTAAAAGTTTGGGTTAAAAATTCCTAGTGGCTTTAGTGTAAACTAAGGGATAGGGTTCCTTGAGATCTTATGTTAATTTTAGTGTAATGCTTTTATTTATAACAAGCTTTAATGCTTGGTGCTAGCCTTATAAATAGAGTGCAATGGCTTTTTCTTTTATGTGTAACCTACAGGGTTAAAAATTCCTAACTGTTTAGCTTGAGATTTTAGTGTCATCATTTGGTTTAGGATGAGGTTTTATGCTTAGTGCTAGAGTTAAAAGGGCATGGCATACTAATGCTACATGTATCACTTAGGGTTAAAAATTATTTTGGCATTAGGATGCGCTTAATGTTAGAGTTAGTCTTTCTTCAGATAGTAAGTTAATTTTACTATGATTATTTGATTTAGAGTGAGATTTTTGCTCAGTGCTAGTCTTAGAATTATCTTGGGTCATGGTTTTTATTTACCTGTTGCTGTTGGGATTACAAATTCCCATTGGCATTATGGTGAATTTAGGGTTAGACTTCCTTGATCAATTAGGTCAATTTTAGTGTGGTGGTTTGGTTGAGGCATCATGCTTAGTGCTAGTGTTATAAATATTTTGCAATGCAGATTTTGTTTATGCATAACTCTTAGGATTAAACTTTTTTATTAGTATTACAATGATTTTGTTGTTTGTGATTTTACTTATAATCATTTTCCCTGTTCCTCTTGGATTATTTAGATTAGATTTAGGGAAGATTTAAATTTAGTTTTCTTTTCCTTTGACCCTTTATGATTGGCAACCCACACTTTGTACTTTGGTAGTACCAAGGTGGAAAGCAGAACCTTCCAGTATCCTACATGGTCAACCAGGTTATATTCATCAGAAAGAAAAATCCATTGTCTTGGGTATGGTTAATACTACTTATAAGAATTATTCTTTTTAAGCAACCATAAGTGTTGCTATAGCATGATCCAGTGGGGGAGAGGAATGGAGTTGAGATTTAGATATGCCTTTATCAGAACATGCTCTACAGACATATTCTGTTGAGGCAATATATTTGGGTATATTTCATGCATAACCACCCTCAGATTTGGTCAGGATTTGATTTTTCCATTCCTGGAATCTTGGGGCCCAAACAACTTACTGGGACCATATTACCCAATGCATCTTTGTCATATGAGAGCAAGCATGATATAGTTATGCAACAGTGAGTTTAGTGTTATAGATCAAAATAAGAATACACTTTCAGGTAAAAAATCATGTTTATAATTGTAACTTTGTAATCATTTAAGC